GGGGGGGGGGTGGAGCCTCAGCCACATTGGAGACCCGCCCTCAAGGGGGCAGGAGCCTCCGGACCCCATTTCCACTGAGGTTGCTTCTGCTCAGATGCCCCCTCACGCCCCAAGGCAGGTGCTGTCCCCGAAACTTCCTATCAGGGTGGCTTTGGGGCTACAGCTCTGGCGCCAGGTTCCTATGAACGCTCATGGACCAGCTGTCCGGCCTGTGTCCTGCTGAAGGGCCCCACAGGTGGGAGCCAGGCTGGGGCCACAGTCGTGGCCCATGGAGCAGCCAGGGCCTCCCTGCAGCGGGAGGGCCGTGGAAGCCAGCCTGGAGCCCGCACAGGAAGCCCAGAAGAACTGCTCTGCTCGCTGCACTGCAGGCTGCACTGGCCCCTGGGCAGGGAACAGCCGTGTCCTCCTGGGAGTGGGGAGTGTTGCTTCTTTCCAATTGCCCTCTGGTTAGGGTGCACTTGTAAATCAGAGTTAATATATGGACGAGTGTGTGCACGGAGCGAGTGGCCAGGTGCGTGTGTCTGAGTGTGAGTGTGTGGCAGAGCAGAGGCAGCGCGGGGCCTCAACTGCTTGACTTCCCTGATGGGACGAGCTGCTGAGGAGCCGGGGGTCGGCCCCACGTTCTGGCGGAGGACGAGACTTAGCCTTGCCTGCTGTGGTGCCCCTCTGCCGCTTACCCTCTGCCATGGCCGTCCCTGGCCAACCCTGCCCAGAACCAAACCCTGTAGCTGCCCCGTTGCCCTGCGTGGGGTTCCCAGCGTCTCCTCTGGTGACATCCCGTTGGCGATCTCCCCGCCCCATCTCCCACCTGTGAAATAAACACAGTCGTGCTTCCCAGTGGCCTCCAGGGCTTCTTCATTGCTGCAGAGCCCAGCTCCGGAGGGCCTCCAAGCAGCAGCGGGTGGCTTCTTGCCAGTTAGGCTGAGACAGAGCCGTCTGCCCCAGGCACACCCTCCTTTGCCCCAAAGCTGCACGGTGTATGACCCTTGACCCCAGCTCACTCACCCTGGTTGAGCCTGGGTTAGGAGATCAGTGTGCAGGGGAGAGTGGAGGCTGCCAGGGGCAGAGCTTCTGCTGCCCCGGCCTGGCCTGCGGACCCACCCTCCTGCTGCTCCCAGCAGTGCCCAGCTCTCCACGGGGCCTGCAGCAGCAGCACCTGCCTGTGGGGTGCTTGTGGGAACAGGAGACCCCACAGGAGGTCCCCGGGGTGGAAACACATGGGAGTCATGGGGGGGTGGGGCCAATGCTTCAGGCTGATGTGTCGCCCGTGCCCAGGACCAGAAGCCAGCCAAAGGTGGGAGGGCACACCTGTACTTGGGCTCCCGCCTGCTGCCTAGCTGCTCTCTTTTAGTGCCACAGGGGAGCACTGTGTGTTTATGGGGGTGCTGCTTTAGACCCCCAGGGGGGTCTTTCCCTCTGGCACCTACAGGGTACCAGGTCCCTGAGCTGGTCCTTGATTCCAGGGCCCAATATCATCGAGTGTCCATCCCATCAGCACAAGCTGCTATCGGCTCCTTTCAGGGATGGCGACCCCTGGAGAGACAGGCCAGAGCATGAGGTCAGCGTCCAGGTCAGAAGCCTCTTCACCCCACCCCTGGGGTCCTCCCTGGGCCCAATGGCCGTGGGAGTGCCAGGGTCAGGCAGAGAGGAGAAGCTGATGCAGCCAGAGAGGGAGAGAAGAAAGAAGTGGGCCCTGGGGGCCTCTGGCCCCAGGTCCGGGGAGGACTGACCCACTCCATAGTGCCCATGGCTTGCACAGTGAGCTGCAGAGGCAGGGAGCCCCAGGCCTGGAGCCCCCGGGAAGCACACACACCTTCCCCAAATGCTGGTGGGGGCACTCCCTGCAGTTTGAGAAGCGGCGGGCCAGTCCCCCTCAGGCGGCATGGCAGAGGGGCTGGCCTGGTTGTGCCCTCCTGCCCCTGCCCACCTACCCTCTGGCTCGCCGGCCTGGGGCTTTTCTTTCTCCTTCCTCCTTGGTTTACACAGCAGAAAACTTCACAGATGGCACGACTGATAAATGTCCAAGCCACCCAAGCCCGTGTCTCTGAGTCTACACATCATTGCTCACGTGTTTTGTCCTGATTTTACTTATTCTGGTGAGAAGAAGAAACTAGAAAAGCCCCAGACAGCGGAACCGGGCCGGAGCCACCTTCTGAAGTCACTAAGTCACTTGACTCAGGCTTCACTCATTTTTTTTTTTCCCATCTGATATTTTTTCTGCCATTCTTGGAAAATGCCTGGGTTTCACAGGACGCCCAGGCAGAGCGGGCCACCCTTCAGGGCTTTGCAGGACGTGAGTTGTCCCTGACTCACATGCTATTTGTCTTCCTCCCGTTTTGTTTCAAATGCTGCTCTGGGAAGGGCTGAGTGACAGCTGGCTGGGAGGGCCTTGGAGCCTGACTAGGGAGGACAGGCCAGGTGGCTGGACTCAGGTGCCCCACGCCCACTCACGGCCAGTGAGTCAGCCTCCCTTTTGATTGGGGCTCCAGCTGGGCAGTTGGGCGGCAGGTCCTTAGTCCCTTGCCAGCCACTGCCTCCTCTCCTCGAATCCCAAATTCCCAAATGTTTTGGCAATGCTGCTTCTCGTCCATAAGGCACGTATTCTGGACCTGCGTTTGGGGATCTGTGATGGACCCCAAACTCCAGAGGTGTATTTCAGTTCAGTTCTTCAAATACATTTGAACACCTCTCTAGTGGTTTGCTTTTTCACACATTGGAAAAGGGACCGAGGGGTGGCAGGGAGGGAGCAGGCAGCTAGATGCCCCGGCTTCACCCTTCAATGCTCGTATTTGAGAGAAGAAAGCAGATGCCATACACTGTCACTCCCATGCCTGGAACGCAGCAGCCCTAGAGGGGTTGGCATGGGATCCAACGCGCAGGCTGCCCATTCCAGGGTCCTCTCCCCCCGAGAGCCAGGGGAGAGGTGGATGGATCTCGCTGCCCTTGATCTGCGGCCTGCTAACAAGGGCTCCCGATGCTAACTGCAAAGTGCAGAGAGATGAAGAGCAAAGAAGGCCAGCAGATGCCCTGGAGGCCACTGGAGCCAACCAGTGACCATCATCATCCATAACAAACAGTAGCTGACGTTACTCCAGGATCAAAGCCCCATCTAACCCCTCCCCTAACGGATGCCCACCCTCCCAATCGGTATCTGCTTCATAATTCTACAGACAGACTGATGGAGGGCAGAAAGAGCCCTAATCGAGCCAGGCAAGCCCGAACCTCAGGGGCCTCTTCCCTGCCCCACCCCCCGCAGCCCTGGAAATGATGGCCACGCCTTCTGCTCCCTGCCCAGGGGAACTGCCCGTCAGCCCCCTCTCAATGTCCAGGCTACCAGTCATGGCCCAGAGAGGCCACTCCAATTCCCCCGCCAGCCAGCAGAAGTGGCTAACCTGGGCTGGAGAAGCCAGACGCCCATTCCCACAAGCCTGGGCTCAAGTGGCTGGAGGTTTCCATCTGGTGTTCCTCAAGGGAGGTCCCAGGTGGGGTCCTAAAGAACAAAACACAGACCCTCAGGCTGACCCGAGTGTGGCTGCTGTGACTCGTCTCCAGGATGTGTGGATGGGAGTAGCTTCTGCTACGGCTGACTCTTAAAATAAATAAAAAACAACTTACAGGTGAACAGGAGCCGTGCAGAGGGGGTAAGGGGGTGAGAGTTCACAGCTGGACCCGCGCCCTCCAGGCTTGCTGACGGGCACTGTCATCTGTGGGGTGTGAACGTGGCACTAGCCACACCAGCACTGTCCTTGCCACACCCGCCTTTCTGGAACACCAGCGTTTTGAAGTGTCCACCCACTATTGATTTATTCCTGTGAGCCCAGTGCCCACCTCTGCTGAGAGTGTGGCTAAGGATAAAGCACAGTCCTGTGGGGCCTGGGACGGGGACGCGTTCCGGGATGAGCGTCACGATGCAGGAGGGACAGAGGGAACCAAGGCAGCGCTGTGCCAACAGGCCACAGAGGCTCACAGCACCGCGGGGCACTTGGCAGGCGTGAGGACAGCGGGCAGGGTCCTGACTCTCCAGTGTCCCTTGAGGGACGAATGTCTGCATGAAGCCTGCACCTGCATCACTTCCCCCATGACAGTTGTCACAGAACTACTTCACACCATGTGACACGATCACAACCACAGGTCTAAAAGGCACAGTCCACACCCACCGGCCATGCAGACAGTGCCGAGGATGCTCACAGTGGTGTCCAGGTAGTTCTCAGGTGGAGGCCCCAGGTGGGAGGACCTGAGAGGCAGGGCGGAGGCCAGCCACACCCAGCCGGAGGAGCCGGGAGCTTGAGGAGGAGGTGGGACCAGCGGACCCCCAACAACCCCAGGGGTGTGTAAGCCAGAGGAAAACTCTGGTTCTGGTGCTGAAACCACAAGAACTAACCCCTGGCCCAGCCCAGCTCGCCTCTGCCCCAGAAGCCCAGCTCCAACCTGCGGCAAAATTGCCCCAACTAGTATCTAGAGATGTTGCCCCAATGTCTAGAGATGCTCCCAGAATTCCTCAAAAGGAGGAATGGCATCCCTGGTCGCTGGAGACCCGGGGCCACTCTCTTTGCTGGACAGTGAGGTTCTAATGAGAAGCCACCCAGTCCTGCACAGGCCCCTGCCTGCCAGAGGAGCAGACACTCACTGACTCTTGACACTTAGGACATCCGCAGGCCTTGGAGAACCTCTTCCCAAAGAAATGACAGTCACGTGAACACAGCTGTGGCCACCCTGCTGCAGCCTGCTGCCATGACCAGTCCACACCCACGGCTCCAGCCAGCTGTTGAGCCAAAACACATCTTTAAAAACCATATCTGTACCGAACATGCAAAGATTGTTTTCTTGTCATAATTCCCTAAATAACCAGCGTAACTACTGTGTGCACAGCAACCACGATGTAGGGGGTGTCTGGCCACCTAGGGAGGATGGCAAGTGCGTGGGAAGGTGGGCCTCAGTCACACTCAAGCACCATGCCGTTGTCACATAAAGGACTTCCGCATCCAAAGACTGTCATCTGAGGGGGTCTGAAACCCACCCACCAAGGACACTAAGGGCAGCTCTGCTGGCAGAGCTCACAACAAGCAGTGTCCTACCTGAAATTGTCCCAAGAGTCCTAAGTGGGCTAGAAAATAGCCTGATGCCCACAAGGTGGGAAGAGGAACTTTGGTAAATAACAAAGTAATTAAGAGGTTCATTAGAGAATGTGTTGATGGTACAGGTGAGACACGAGCAGAAGGAAAAGACTCTCACTGACCCTGCTGTGTGAGGCAGGGCTCTCTGGGAACAGAATCAACAGGAGGTATAACTACAAGAAGAGGGATCATCAGGTTGGCCTACACGACCAGAGCTGGACAGTCCACAGTGGCTATCTGCAGGCTGGAGAGCTGGGAGAACCCTTAGCTGCACAGTCCACGAGGCTGAAGCCCCAGAACAAGAGGGGTCAACAGTGCTGCCCTAGTCCCTGACCAAAGGCTCCTGGAGAATCCACTCTGGAAGATGAAGAAGCGAGAGGCAGATGTCCTCAGAGGCTCACAGCAGCAATCAAGAAGCCTTCAGGAAGAATGGAGCTGCACCTGCTGCTGAGTCCTTGTTCTTCCAATTCTCATTCCATCCGAGCCACCATCCTATTGGTCTGTGCTGCCCATGCTTGGGAAGGGCCTCCACTTCAGTTGGCTATCCCACATGCCAATCATTCCTGGACACACCCTCACAGACCCACCCATCTCTCCTTAATCCCCGGCATCTCTTCATCCAACAAGTTGATGCTCAAGTTACCCATTACACCTGCCTGGCAGAGGGATGCAAACTCAGCCCAGGGTTGCCGTGAGCAACTGCCCTTCTCTCCCTTCGCTTATCAATATGCAGAATTTCACAGACAGAAGGCAGAACTGGGATAAATTTACTTCCTGCATCATGGTCCAAAAAGCGTCCCCAGGAGCTACACCTTAGCAGCCATCAAGAACACGATGAGATGGGCTCTATTTCAGTTACTCTGATCTGGGTCAGCAGCCTGAAACATAGAGAAAAATAAAGCACAGCAGTGTTCAAAAGCATTTCTTAATACTTCAACATGGCCAAAGTCACAGCGTGCCTTTGTCAGCACAGGAAGGACAGGATTCTGTGCATCCCGCATTTCTGGAGGCCGTGATGCCAGATGGTAAGTGTGCTCGCCCCAGGAGATGCCACGGCATGCCTTGGGTGAGCAGTTAGCAAGGACGATTCTTGAGGCTGTGGTTAAGGCCTGAATGTCCCCCAGGCCCAGGCATTGAAGGTCTGATCCCAGCACGCCCCAGGGAGGTGGTGGGGCCTCAGGAGGTAGGCCTGGTGGATGGAAGGCCATGTGGGGAGCCCCGAGGGGATACTGACCTTCGGGTCTTTCCAGCTGCATGACCCCAGGTGACACCTTCCTCCCCATGTGCTCCCTCTAAGGTGTGCTGCTTCCTCAAAGTCCCCAAAGCAACAGGGCCAGCCGGCCATGGACTGGAACCTCTAAGTCACTTGACTCAAATATTTCTTTTTTTTCAGTTGATGACCTAAGGTATCATGTGACAGTAACAGAAGGCTGACTCACACACTCAATAGTTCTAAAATGTCTCCACGAGAAGAAATGAATCTCACCTATGGAAGAATTCCAAATAAATGACATAGACATGTCCCCCAAAGGAAGGCACACAGCTCCCCCTTCTCACATATGAGCTGTGCCTACTGATTTCTTTCCAAAGAATATGGAAAGGTGGGGAGATGATCCTACTGTGGAGAAACCTGCAAACCCTATGTTACAGGTGGTCAAGGTCAACTTCTACCATCCTAAGTCAGGTTGACAGTATCTACCTCGAGGTGACATGATGGAAATGGCACTTTGCCTCTGTGATCTTTCTCCAAAGGGACCTCAGTCCTCTCATGATAAAGACATGGGACCATGTACAGTACAGGAGCACACTGTGCTCCCTGGGAGATTTCAAGGTCATTAGAAATAAGAACAGTCTGAGACAATGTCACCTCCTAGCCCAGAGGAACCTAAAGTGCCATGCCAAATGGGAGGGTTCCTGGGAAGGGACCCTGGGAGGGGAAAGAGGACATTGGGTAAAGATCAAGGGAACCCTAATGAACTGGGGGCTCCAGGGAACCATGAGGGGTCCACGATGCTCCCTCAACCATAGCAGAGCATCAAGCTGGAGCAGGATCTCAGTGACAGGGGACACTGTGCACAGCGGGGACACTGTGAGAACCCTACCTGCACCGTCACTCCATCAATGTAAACCTGTCCTGAAGCCAGGTCCTCTACTAATTAAAGGAGAGTGCTCCCTGGCCTCGTCTCCAGCAATCCATTCAGGCAGCCCTGGCCGACTCTGTGTGCTAGGGCCAGGGGGTGGCCATCCATCAGTCCAGGGGTAGGGCTGCCGCTCTCTTGCTCTCAGCCATTAGTGACTGTAACAAAGGAGCTGGTGGCCTTGGGACATTCTTCTTGGCAGAGCCATAAGAGTGCGTAATCCAGAGAGCTCAGTCAATACCATTAATGGCTATTGTAGAAAAGCCAATGGGGGCTTGGGTCTGCAGGAATCCATCTTCCTGCTCCCTGGGGAAGAAGGGGGTGTGGCAGAGAGTGCTGGATGTCCACCCAAGCTCCTCTTTCCTAGTTAGAGAATCTCTGTATTGCCCTGGTCAACAAAGTGTCCAGCTAGAAAAATACATCTCCCAGCCTCCCTTGCAGATAGGGGTGGCTAATGAGAGGTAAATGGAGGGCATTGCATGGAGACTTCTGGAATGGTCTTTAAGAAGACTGACTCATTGGGGAATATATGCCCTTTAGTCCTTATCTCCTCCTTTTCCTGCTTCCTGGATCATGGATGTGATCTCCGGAGCTGCAGCAATCATATTGCAATGACAAGGTGATTCTGAGTACAGTGAAGCACAGAGGTACCTTGGGCTCCAGATGAAGCTACCACACCAACTCGAGCGCCTTATTTGGGTTTCTTTGCATGAAAGAAAAAGTGCAAAGCCTATTGTGTATGCTATGGTATTTTTACTGATCCAGAAACAAAGTTTCTGCTAGTTCAGGAAACATGATGATCTAAACATGCATGGTATAAAGGCTCAGCCTGCAGGTGAAGGGGGTAAGGTACAGGAACCCTCTGGGGCCCATAGTGCCACAGGAGAGTTGGAAACAAATTAACCACTGCAGCACACGGCTGCAGCACACGGCTGCAGCACACGGCTGCAGCACACGGC